AAATAGTACAGTTGACTTAAAAAAATAAAACTATATAAAATGTAGCAGGTATATACCTATTTTTTTTTTTTATAGATAAAACAATAATAAGTAGATTACATTCGTCATAATTCGTAAATGTGGAATTTATAAGCAGCTCTAATTATTGACCAATTAAAACTATTGAATATTTTAAACCAAGACTATGTCAATCTTAAAAATAAATTTTTGTCCAATTAAACCTTAGATCATATACAATGGATAGAATCATCGTATATCATACCTATAGAATGAGTTGAAGTCAACATAACTATAGGGCCGATGACATCTGCGCATGCGCGCATGCTTATCAAATGTCAATCTGTTTTTCGGCTTAAATTGAATTTAGGCATCACTAATTCTTAATTTACGAAATATTGTTATTGATCATCATTTTGACGTATCAAATACAATATAATTAATTATATTATAATAATAATGCAATTAGAAACTTAACAATTACTTATACTTTATAGTTAATCGTTATCTTGTTCAATTATCAATTAATTAATATTTACGCCAAAAATTAATGATAAGATTCCACGCGCATGCGCATATTACTGCGGTCCTACTGTTATGTTGGCTTCACAAATTATTTGTATGACTCCATCCATTGTATATGATCTAAGAATTAAACAAACAATTAATTTTTCATAACTGTAGACTCAAAACTTCACATATCCTTCCAATATCAATTAATATCAAACCACTTGTATCCGATATAGGTACCCACGAAAATTTTTAAATTTTTCATTATTCTTAAAGTTATATATATATATAACTTTATTATATATTTAACTTAAAGATTATAAGCTATATAAAATATAGAGTATATTTATAATTTTGTACTATTAGCTATTATTAAATTTAGTAATCGAAGGCAAAAGATAAAAATAACTATAACCTTTAAATGTTGATTAGTAAAATAGTTATAAATTTAACTGTCCAAAAAATTAGGACCTTATAAAAAATTAGAATATAAAAAAAAAAAATACCACACTTAAGTATTCAAAAATAATTTTAAATTTTATTCAATATTGAATGACCTAGTTTTAAATTAAAAAGATTTATATTTTCCATTGCCATTGAATGAAACAATTATTTATTTAGAAAATCATTATATAAAACATCTCAAAATAAAAAATGCAATAATTTTTCACTTACGGGCCTCGTATAATAATGACATTTTCGCGTATATAAAATATTTATTACAAAATTCCACTTATATTAACTGGTGACATCGATTTTCCAAAATCCTTCGATTACTATTTTTGTATGGATTTAAAACGGCAAACTGTAAACTGATAAATTCTCAGAAAACCACGAAAAACACTTATAAATAACGACAGATACCCCGTATTATGTCACGAAACCTGAGTGTTTTGGTGTATGATCACGGTTGAAATATTATATATGATACATTTAAATTAGTTTTAAGGTAAGCATAGAGATGTAGAGAAAGTAGTGTATCCCCCGACTTGTGCACATCTGTTTGTTCGTTACGTAACGAATAACAATGACATTTTTGTTTAAGTATCACGTTACATTACTCTGAATGTCTTAAAAAAATGTCGAATGTCTTGAATTGTGTATGCACATATTTTTAGTGTCACATTAACGTGTTCGCACACCAACTACACAAAATCCGCAGTACCTACTGTTGATAATATTTAGTCGATGTATAAGTATAATAGTCGTCGAGCTTATTAACTTTATTTCATTCCAAACAGTTTGGTATCTGAATTATCATGAATTAATTTAAAATCGATTTTATATCAATGAAACTATAGCTTATTTCATATAAAACAGCAACGATATGCAGGCTACAATAATATAGTTATGTAAAACACAGCTGACTACAGTTCAAAGACTTTGTTGCGAAGAATGTATGTTTTGAAAGAAAAAGCGAGATGGGTTTATGAGCCAATTTTAGAAAATTAAGTTTATAGACGTGAAAAAAATATAAATGTACAACAAATCCACGAAAAACCTAGTATAATTAATGCTATTAAGACGAATAGATGATTTGAATGGAAAATTCATGTGTGGAGATCGTGAAACTACAAGCGACATTTTGGAAAAAATCCTGGCAGAAAGCCAAGGACAATAAACAGTAAAATATCCAGATGTTACCCTAAAAAACGCTGGATGAACGAAATCAAAGATGATTTATACAAATACGATAAGAGAATAACAAAAGTAGAAAGCATAGGTGGAGACAACCGGGTATAATATAGGGTGTGAAAGTTTTTAGAGACCGTAAAAGCTTAATATTTGTGTAAAAAAAAACTAAATTACACCTTTTTTTTATTTTCTATTCTTTTAAAAATAACAACTTTTTTTTCAAATTCTAAATGTGTAGTGATTTTAAAATGTTGGTATATTAAAATTGATTCTCAAAATACTCGCGTTAAGAATATCAAAAAAATTTCGATTTGGACAGTTATTTTTTTACAACCATGAAATTTAAAATTATTTTACGTTGTAATTCATATCAAATCAAAAATATAAATAACTTTTATGTGTATATGTATTAAAGTTTTATTATTTGTTCTACGTGTACCAATTTTACTCTTTGAAAACATCAACTCCCATATCTGTCTAATATCATAATACAATCATCTTATATATAATTTAATTAATATTTGATAGCCTATAATAATTTAAGTTTATAAAACATAAACCATTCACTTTAAATTTCCATTGAAAATTATAGAATTTAAGTCCTCGGCAGGTTTTTAAAGGAAGAAATATTTATACAAAAGATAACGTATAAATAATATTTACAATACTCGTTGTTGGTTTAACATTCTACAATATTCCTTATACATTTGTTAAATCAACTCACATTGTTTATACATTGATATGAAACATTATTTTAAGCATGTAACAGCATTTGCAAATCATATAGAACTTTTTACGAATCTACTTTATTACAAATATTTATATCTGCAGTACAATTTCATCGTACAAAATATTAAAACAAAATGTTTGCTATGGATAATTTTTATGTAGTACTATTTTAACATAACACTAAAATATACCTACCTGAGACATGTTTCTACTACCCGGGTGTTTTTATTATTTAGAGATAAAATAAAATAGTAAAATAAACTATTTAACATACGAATACGAACTGGTAGTAAATTTACCAAGTATACAATAACTATACGTCTAGTACTAATATTGTGTGTTGATTATTACAAATAATCCAATCAAATAAATGGTTTTTATCAGTTATTACGTTTCTATGTAAATTATGATTGCGAGTTAATGTAAATATAATATATTCTAATATATTCGATTCATTTGAATTTATACGAAAAGCTATTAGTTCGAATCGATGTTATCAAAACTATTACACATACAAATAATGCAATATTGATTTTTTTAACTGTAGTATTTTGTGAATAATTTTTTTTTTCAAAAGCTAATTGAGTTCTCTAAAATATTTAATGGATAATGATTTTTAAATAACAAAATAACAGCACAGATTTTTTCGAAACGTAGATAAAAAATGGGTACTGTAAGTTAAAGCAAAATAAAACTAAAATTACACTTACCAAATGGCCATTATATAGTAGGGAGTCCAACACACAACGAACGCTATGACTATGATAATTGTCATTTTTAATGTTCTGCTTTTGGCACGTCCCAAAAATCCTAGACGACGCACGTTATCTGTACCTATGAAAAAATGTCAACATTTTAATAAAATATCAATACTTGGAAATCAGGTGAGATACAGAAGCAAATGACTGATTTCAGTGAATTGTTCTTATAGATTTGAAATCAATTAATACTGTTGATCTTAAAAATAATTCTGAGCGAAGGAGGACGAAGTTAGATTAGCTTTATGATAAAGATGGTTTAATTTACTACATGTAAGCTATAAATGCTTAATTATTTCACAATGAAGTTGGTTAAACAGACATGAATGAAAAAAAAATCTTGTATAAATATTACACCTTTGAACTTTTTATTGAAAAATTTTCTAATAAATGTTTAAACGATTATTTAAATTAATATTACTATTAATTAAATTATAACATGCTTATTATAAGTGTATGGTTTATGATTCATGTTTTTGTTCATTTTTAGACAAAAAAATAACTTATACTCGTAATAACGTATAATTTGATGTATCTAATTTCATCAAAGTTAAAAGTTATAGCACTTATATAATTATATTTTCCGAATTTCCGGTAAACTTTTTGTTGTCAACAAATAACAAATATTCATAAAAAATTTTTTTCTTCAATTTTCAAATTTAAAGTTTTAAAATTGTATGAATCATAAATTTCGTATTCATCATCATAAATTTCAACATTTTTACAGATATTCATGATTTTTGTCGAGTTTTTCAAAATTTAAATTTTGATAGCTTATAACTTGCGGTTACAAATATTTTATATTTTTCTACATAAATAAAAAAAATTATTGAAAAACTTAGTTATACGAGTAAATTTCAAAATATTTTACCAAAATATGTTAATAAATATCAAATTTTAAATACTTATAAAAACAGGAAAGTTCTAAAAATTTTTAAATACTACTTATATACTTAACTAGTATATACTATTTTTAGAAAATGGTGACATTACCATTCAATAAAATATCCAATATTACTTGAAAAAGAAAATTAAATTTCACCGAAAATTAGTATCTCATAAATTTTTCTCTATTATTTGATAAGCTATTAAAAAAATTAAAAACAACCTCATGCGTTTTATTTTATAGCCATTGTTAAAAAAAACATTACAGCTAAAATATTATTATTATGTTCATACAAATTCAACAAAATGTAGTAAATAAATATTTTTAAATAAATTACCATTTGAATATTACGATGCAAAAATATTATCAGATTACTATATTTTAATATACTATTATTTCTTCAGTAGAAATATACATTTTTATATTTTTATAATACATCATTCAGTTCAAATTTTTTCAAGTTAATTTAATATAGTATTAATTAAAATAAAACAAAATTTTCGAATTAATGGAACAAAGTTATAAAAAGTTATACAAAGTTATGTTCGAACAACAAAATAACTTGTGTAACATATTTTCTTGATTTATTTTCAAGCTCAGAAAAATACTCAAAACCGAAATATATATTTTTAAGAAGACCAATTGTTTATAAACCTAGATAGTCAGATGCCAACATTTAAAGTAAAGTAGTTCATTTTAAAATTAACAACAAGCATTCCTCGCTTTCCTTAAAATCTATAACTAATAGAAATATATACACCAATACGTTTTCATAGTACTCCGAACTTACCTTGACCGCAAATTGATTCCCTGGATCTTTTATATATTTCAATGATGATAGAAGCGTAGCAGAATATTATTACGATTAGAGGCAACCAGTACATCATGAACATGCCAAAATACAAGTAAGCCAGCTCATGCAATTTGGACGGAAAAGCGTGATAAGTGACGCACTGCTCGTACCAAGTAGCATTAGGGTGTCGTTCCACGTGAAATATGAAAATCTACAGTGTAAATAAAGCAAACAAATTGATTTCGTTAATAAATTAAATAGGTGTACAAATTTTATTCGTAAGTTTAAAATGAGTGCTTATCATAAGTATTATATACATACGGCATAGATATTGTATTTATATAATGGCAAAAGTTTAGTAAGAAATATCAATTTTTTTTTAAAAAAATCAATTAATGATCTTTCTGCATTTGATAATTATATGGGTCGAAAATTACAAATAAAATATAACAACAATTAAATAGAAGTATTAAATCATACAATTTATTTATACAGTGCTTGTGTAAAGGATTTTTTTTTCAATTTCATTTTTTTTCGAGTGCCCGTGCTTAATTATACAACGCTACTCTATTGCATACGATTAAACGTATCATGATTAAACGTCAGAAAATGTCACCTTATATTCTCAACCATACAACCTATAAATATCGATAACTACTATTATTTATGAAAAAATCTCAATCTTAATTTTATGGTTTTAACTTTTTCTTTTACATATTCATGGATAAAATTAATTACAATATATTTTATTGATCATTTTTAGTAGAAATAAAAGAATGTAATGTTTTAATTTTATATTGCAAAACAGACTCTAACTTAAAAACGGTTACCTTATTAAACTCAAGTTACCTGTGGTAAACTACAAACTACTGAAGCGATCCAAGCCACCCCAATCATTAACTTTCCTCTACGATCCATTTGGTATAATCGCATGGGCTGCAAAACAGCTAAATATCTGCAAATAACATATAACATAGTATAAAATTATTTTCAATTAAATATATATATAACATTTTAAACATATTTCTCAAAAATATAATTGAACAATAGTACTTAGTTTAAGATTAAAATTAAGCACCAACTGTTTTGGATGGGTTCCATAAGGTTTTTTTTTTTTTGTCAATTAAATTATTCAAATACAAATATATAATAGCAGTAGAATTTACGGAATTCTTCCAAATTTTTTAATCGTGTCAGAATATTAAAAAATTATTTTGAGCCCATTGAGTTGTTGAGTATTGTTATGAGATTATTAACTCATTTAAGATTTATACTTAAATTTGTTCAGAAAATAATATTTCATGTAATTTTCAATCGTCACTTAATAAATATATTCGGAAATAATTTATTACGATACGTTATTTAAACTATCAACTTTGAAATGTAAGTTAATTTACTCTCAATGTTCAGTGCACTTTCTAAATACTATAAGATAATCTACTTGAAATAAATAGATACCTATAGGTAAAATACGTATAAATAAAATGCATCTGTTGTTACAGTAGGTATAGCCTCTCCCGTATCTAGTGAACAGGGTAATTTTTACGAAAAGTAAAATAATGATGAATGCAATATGCGTTAAGTACTAAACTTTTGTATAACATTTTTTTTTCTACCAACATTTTTTATAAATTATTTATAACTCGATAAATCTAAAGTTGCCGTAACAAAGTTAGCATACTTTTTCCCGTATTATTTATATTAATATTATCATCGAAGATTATTTTTATGGTACCTATAAGCTGATGTATAAATATGATAATTATTCTTTGACTATTGTCTAAATGTAGTTGGGCATTAATTACTATTCAATGAGACAAGTCTGTCTTGTTCATTCTGTTTTTCACGTACTTTTATGATTTTGAAAATAAAGTGATAATTCATTTATAACCATTCTTTAATATATTTCATATTTATTTGAAATATTCTACAAATTGTAGGTCAATTATTCATTAACATATATGTCGATTGTAATTTTTGAAGAATTAATTTTTTTATTTCTATATTTTAGGTAGACATGTTAGGTTAGTATAAATAATAATAATATATATATATATATATATATTATCATTATTTTTCATACTTATCGTTTTTTAACTTCAAATTAACAATATCTAATTAGTAAAAAATGTATCTATTTATACACATTTTAGACCCAAACAAATTTGCTTATTTTTTTTTTAATTAATTTAGTACTTAAAAACACATACATCATAAATATGATGTGGGGACAAATAAATGTTTTTCCGCTATGCTTATAATTTAAAATGTATTAATGACAATGAATAGTAAAATTAAACTTTCAAATTGGATATATTTATAATAAGCAATAAGAAAAAAATGATTAATTAATTACAGATTTAATAATAATTGAACATAAAAAAGTACTGAATAATACTTATAATTAAAATGGGCACCTTCGCATTATATTGACTAAAACATAGAACTAAATCATTAACATGAGCTATAAATTATAATAAGACTTTCAAATAAATTCTATCTTTAAATGATTTATAAATCATATATAATCGTAAAATATAATCTAAGACTAACAGTATTCAATATTTTAGAAATTACAAAAGGGTCAGTTAAGTACCAAATTACTTAAATATTAATTTTTTTAATTTATTATTAATTAATATCACTTAGATATATACCTATCGACGCTGATACAAATCAATATGAAACTGGAAAGATATAATCCAAATATTCGGAAAAATGACATGATGCGACAAAGCGGTTCACCGAGCACCCATTGTACAGTCCATGCCCATGTGATTTCTAATGGCATCATCAAAAACGTTACCTAAAATAAATATAAATTTCATAAAAATATAATTTTAAATAACAAGGTATGATTCTTAAATATATATAAATATATATTAATATTAAATTTTTCAAATACGGTTCTTTTATCGATTTTTAAATTGAATACAGTTAATTAAACACAAAAAAAATTGTAAAATAAAATTACAATATTTATAAATAATATAATTGATATTTTGTGAATACGCAATACTAAAATTTCAACCCCTAAATATAGAATAACTATTATAAAATAAGGTTTCATTGACTTTTTTTTTCGAGAATTATAATTCATTTAAAAATCTTGTTTCGTTTTTTTAAAAGTTCAACCAGTAGGTAAATAAATACATCCCCAAAAAAAATTAAATTTTTTTTGTAATTTAATTTAGTACAAATTTTTTATTTATCCATTGGTTTCATTTTAGTTTTTAATCCATAAACTCTTAAAAAATATATAAGCAAAAGGTTTCTATCGCTTCATTGTTGCTGTATTTTATTTTATTTATGCATATGACATTTTTCGGCTTATCAATAACACAAATAATAATAATACTAACGAAATAGAATAATTGATAAATTAATAAATAAAACGTGTACCATTAAAATAGTAGTCGTAATAATTAAAAATAAATAAATCAAATCAATAATGGTTCCGATAATAATAATAATAATAAAAGCATTAACAGTGGTAGTTATAATAAGTGGGTAACAAGTAGGAAAATATCACAGACGTATAGTGAGTTCGTAAAATCAATTTGGCGGCTGCAGGGCTGCCGTCGTGCAATTTGACTAATCCTCCTTCATTCTTCCTGTTAACACATGACTGGACTATATGTTTGATAGATTTTATATCGCTACACTCACATAGTGGAGAGTCGACCATTCTCCATTTGTGAAGTAAATAATTCTGTTCCATGCGATTGAGAGCTGTCCATTGAGCACCGGTAAAATCCTATCCAGTTACTTTTATAATTGGATCTGTAACAAGGGTTTTGTTACGGGTTTCTGCTAATTCCTATCGTTTTTTCGATATCCTTCTATGGACTCTTCGAGTAAATCTGTACGCTAGATAGAATGTCTTGACCTTAATCTTATCGGGAAGTGTTCCATGATATCGTTTTGCAGGGAGAGGTTTTTAAACGTGCTTAATTTTAAGATACTCTTTGAAGTATGAGATAGTCTCCAAAGGTCGGAAGGAGCTATGTTTGATAGAGCTTATGACCATTCAGTTTGTAAATTTTACAGTTCCTATGTTAATATGATGCACATAGTATGATTCAATTGTACATTAACTTTTTTGCAGTTTGAACTTCTAGCCCATACTGATGAGCAGTATTCGGTAACGCTATACAGCTAAACTAAGGCTGAAGTTCGAAGTCCACCGATGGTACATACCTAGCTAGTGCCGGCCAACTTAGCTATGATGTTATTGAGGTATTTTTAACTTATTTTAAAGCTTTCCAGATGTTCGTTATAAGTTAGAGTTCTGTCGTACTTAAGGCATTCTTCTATAGCGATTTTTTTTACCTGCGATTATTATTTTAAGCTATATTTTATTATGATTAATAATGTATTTTCCTCAAATTATATTTGAACATTTTAATATCATTATAATTTATTACTTGGAATCAAATTTTTTGAAAAATGTATTCAAATAAAATAAAGTACCTATTAAGCCATCAATTTAATAATACTTTTTGGATGTTATTACCATAATAAAATAACAATTTTTATGTTTTCGTCTTTGATTTGAAAAATCTAAATCGATAATTCGCATAAATAATATCAATTGAAAAAAGCTAAAAAAAAAAAAATAATAGTATTTTCTTTCACTAGTATACTCATATTTGTTATAAATTTTACATTTAGAGACAATCGTTATTATTTCATTACTATAAAATATGATTTACACGTAAAAAGTTTTTGATTTTCATTCTATCTAATGTAGATACTAATCAATTTATTTATATTTAAAAATTTAAAATATATCGTTAGGTTTAAATTCAAGAAACTCAAAAAACAAGTACTACTTTATCCAGACCTGTAAATTACTTTATAGGACATAGAGCATGTATAAAGAATACCTAACTATATTAAACTACATACATACATAAAAAAAATCGTGTTATGAATAACAATCGTAAATTAAAAAAGTTTGCGTTAGAATCAATTTCTGCGCAGTAATCCATCGTACGCTCGATAACACTTTTTGTTACATTAAATCAACAACTTCTTGACAAACTATTTTCTTAGCTCATTAATTTAAATAATAACAGACTGTCATTAACAGTTTAAATATATCATCTAGTCATTTTGAAAAACTAGTGTTATATCTATACGTGACACATGCTAAACTACTTTTCAGTTTTAATCAGCTAATTTATTTTTATTTATCAAGCTATAGTATTCTTAAATTGATTACAGAACCATATTATTATTTAAGCACTATCGTTATTTTTAATATCGAAAAATGCCCCTTATTATTGAGGATTGATAATAAACGATTTAAATTGCATAACAGTTCTGAGATGTTGAAAAATCAAGCGTATCATCTAGGAAGTTAAATTATTTGTTTTGATTTATAATCTATAAGTCATTTCATCATGTATTTCAATTCTTTAGATGCATAGTATTTTGGTAAAAAAATATGCTATCGGAAAGTTAATTGAGTAACAAAAAAAATAGTTTGTTAGCGGCTTCGTAGAATTATTCGCTGTTTAAGAGCCAAATAAAAATCTACTATCGATACTATCAGAATGCAATGCCTATATAAATTGGTAGTGATCATGGGTAAAGTATCAGGTGATGGATCTTATCATACATGATTGCATATTACTTGTGTCCCAAAAAAAGAGATACTGCTGAAATATATCGCTGATAATAAATTAGAGCAGACGTTGGATCCCGTTTTAGGGACGCTGATCAGTTTTTTCATTATTTCCAAGCTATAATAAAATTCAAATCTGTGGTTAATAAACTGTACAATATACTTTTAAAAAATCAATTAGCAATTTTACATACACTAGAATCCGTTTAAGACGTTTTTGCTTAAAACAATTTCCCACCTAATAAGCTCATTTGTTTCGAGTCCCTTGATTTAACTCCGAATGCTTCCATTGTCAATGATTTTAATGTAAAAATATAAAATTTTATGAAATTTTAACAAATTCACTTAATCATGTAAATGAGCTATGCATATTAATTGCATCTTTTGACAATGCTAACAAAACATTAATTTATCTTAATAAAATTGAGAACTTCCTTCATTCTAAAAATATAAAAAGTTGAAACGAACAAAATTCGATAATTTTTTAAGTAGATAATGTAAAATAATGTGCAATATAAATTTAAAAATTCACATTGTAGTGTACAATATTTTTTTTGTCGTCACAATTTAAATTGTTTTTCCCGTGTTACACGATTTCCCGTTTGATAAATAATTTTTAACTAATCCCTAGAAGAACATCCTAGCCGGGTTCCACTGTATTAAAAACATAATAGGTACTTTCAATAAATAAAACAACTTTTTTTGATAAAGGGTTAAATTAAATCATATTATGCCATATTAAGAATTCTGTTTTTATAAGTCTTAATAGCTCGTCTCACAATCGCAATGGATGTAACATGTTCATGGTTTTCTTTTTATATTCAAAATAAATCCCGAGATGATTTATGATGAAAGAAACACTTAAAGATATTATCATTTTTGCATGCAAAAATAATGCGTTCAATTATACGATTTTTCTGGACGCAAATAGGTCACAAAAAATAAATAAATAAAAATATATGCTGGTACACTTATTCATTTTAATCCTCATAAATGATTTACGCGGGAAAATCATTGATTGTTTAGCGGACGAGCCCAACCTAACGTGCTAAGACTGGTGACTAACAATAGTACCGGCCAATGATGTGTCCACTACGGCAGTTATTCTATCAGACCGTTCACACGCTGTTGTGTTTAACAATGGTTTACGTGAGGCCAGCGTAGACCAAATCATGCGAGAGCACAACCTGCGATCAATTACAAACGGGACATGCAGGTCGAGCACGGGCAACACGGGACCCGCAGGACAAACGGGACGTTTGCAGCCGCACTTACCAGGAGATCGGCGATGGCCAGGTGCATGAGCATCGCATGTATCCTGGTGCCCGCTTTGCGCCTGCGTTTCAGGATGATCGTCAGCACCGTGATGTTGCCGATGGCCGAGACGACCATCAGTATGCTGTACGTGACTATGGCCACCACGTGGCCCTCGTTGAACCTCATGTCATACGGCAGGTTCGACTCATCGAACATGGACGCGTTCGTCACGTTCTCCATACAGCACCACGTGTCCACCGGCGGCGCGCTGACGTCCACGTGGTTAGGCACCGAATGCAGCACCTTGTTCGAATCGGTTTCCATCATATCCATGGTCGCGGCTGTTGTATCGTTCCTGGACACACGGCGAAATCTCCACTGCTCGCGTGATCACTACGTCCTTGCGCGCGCTAACCCGAGTCTCCCGGACCCGTCCACCTAGAACGAGTTCAGCGCATCGTCGAAATCTGAAAAATAATATCCAATCAATAACAATAACAATAATAATAATGATGATGATTATTATTAGAAGGACAGCAAAAATTAAAGTTTTCAAGGCGTCGGTATTATACGCTTATATTGTACTATCGTCGTTGTTCTCGTTCGAATACAATGTTGAATACTACAGATTTCATTTTTACACGTGTCTGTACAAAAGGTCATTCCGAAACGGCGTAGTCGGCAGCGTACCGGTACACGAAGGTATCGTCGTGGCGAGAAACTACGAACTGTAACATTTTTGCCCATTGACCCGCGCAAACGGAACAGAGCCGTAAACGTTCACTTCCGATTTTCTTGATTTTTGCGGTGCGTACGTCGGATCGTTAGTGTCACGGAGACACGCCGTCCTATTGTTCGACGTTTTACGCTTACGTGAACGCGACCGCTAGACGTCGCTCATAGGGTAATACGACGGAGTAATATACAGAGTACATGAAGTCGCTGTGATCGCGATGAAAACATGTTTTTACGTGGAAACTGTTGTTTCTGTTGTTGAAACCTGTTATCAACAATTTGAACACAAACGATCGCACAGCGACGACTAGTGGCCGCGTCCACTATTTATTTGAACGATACGCTAACGCATCCGGTGGTATTTCTCTACACAAGGTTATCAATAAATGCGTATAGAAAACCGACAGCGCTCTGAATATCTGTCAAAGAAATCAGCTTGGTGAGGGTAATCCATGTGTGTTTTTTCAATATCATCAAATCTTTGTACGCACGAACAAAATATTCTAAACACATAAAGTGGACACTATTTTCTTCGTGTGTAATGTTATCACAAAAATAATGTGATCGTATTAACGAAAAAAATAAACAAACAGATTATTTTCGTACGGTGGCACAAAACTCTTCCATAAGTACAGCATAAAACTAATTATAAAAATCCGTTTTTTCTATAGTAGTGATACATTTTTTTTTCTATCTCGATTCCGATATAGTAATTAGCTTTAGCTTTTTTACACTACAGAAGTATAATGGATTTATTTTTTAATTGGTATGGAGTACTTGAAAACGATAGATAGGTGTATTAAATGCAATTAAAACATTCCCAGTACTAATATCTTATGTTCATAACACAATAAAAATAACGACTTTGTTGTTGTGCGGTGTAATTATGTTCGTTACGATAAACAAAGATTTTGTATGGATAGAAAAAAAAAAGACTTATACTTCTCGGATTGCATTTTGATGTCGATCAACTACAAAACAGACACAAATGTAATGCATGAGCTCAGCCACAATCGTAATCGCTTATTACAATGCTTATTTACGTTATAATCACCGGCTTGTACACATAGTATCATTACAAATATGGCGGCCAAAGGTCGATCAAAAACGTGTATCGGCTGTGTTTTCCATTCTAATCAAAACTTTGTAGGTTCGTCCGCTGTAGAATGATTTACATTTCACAGTCAACGGAAAATAACACGATATTCTCTGCCCCGAATATATTTTACGCGAAATCGATACTCAAAATTATGAGTTTCGAATTGTTGTGTCATAAACAGTTCTTCTAGTATTCATCTCTCGTGAACCAAATTGATCAGAAATTCAATTTATACACCAAAATGAACAATGTTTTTAAAATTATAGCTAAAAATTGATAAAATTATTACATTATTATTAACGTGGCGCATTTAATTTAAATAAAATAAGTACCTAATTTATTATTGTAATTTACGACAAATTTCAATTTTTTCAAGAACTCAGACATAGTCTTACGCTTTCTTAGTCGATATATTAAATTAATTTAACTGTTTTAGTCTTAAGACTTTGGAATTGAATTTCCAATTCTATCCAATTTCGATCAAGTTGTATACATTTACCGCTTTCATTGTTTTATGTTTTATTATCAAATTTTTATGACGATATTAACATTATGTTGTATGATTATTATTTTATAGCGTCATGTTAAACAATATAAATTAGTACATTTCTGGCTTAAATGTATTTAGAAGTCAATGGGTCACTGTACATAATTTAAAATTACATTACCATTTATTATATTTAAGAGATATATTCAAGCTTAATGAATTATTGGAAAAAAAAGCATTCGAGAATTAATGATTCAATAACATTTGAAACTAGAACATAGGTATCAATGTTCAAGCTCATTAAGCAATAATCTCTAATTTTTGATCGAATATTCGTGTATTTATCTAACATCAAACTATTAAACTATTATTTTATTTTGAGCAATAGAAACTGCATTTAAATAAAACCGTTTTGATGACATTGAAACTATTAGGAAAAGTACAGATAAGAGAAAGAAAATGTTTTATTCAAATCATTTCTTAAACTATTTCAAAAAGGTAAATATACCATTTTAAAATTCCAAACGACTATTTTAAAAGTTACGGCATATCAGTAAAAATACAAATACAGTTGCATATATACATGAGAGGGAATGACGTAGAAATCCAGGGAATATTTTATAAATGATTATACTTATTGTTTCTCGTTTTTACTTTTTGTTTACAGCGTAATGTTATTTTTGAATCACTACTTACCGTAAATTGTTGGCAAAATGTTAATAAAATGTAGAGCGTCAAGAAACCTTTATAACGAATAATAAATAAATATGGCAGTATTTTTTTGTAAATAATAATAAGTACAATGAAGTTTTCAATAATTTAAACCACGACAGTTATTTTATGTATTTCTTAGAGTTCAAAGCCAGAATTGTATATGTAATAAAATATCCACCCCTTTAAAAAAAATTGTATTTGATACATTTTTACTGTCCCAATATTGCTGAAAATAACTGTAACATTATTTATTCATGTATTTTATAATTTATTTGATATTTACAAATATAACCTTTTAATAAAAATCAACGATTATATAAATTGTTTATGTTATTATTTCTTAATCTATTTGAAAGTTAGATTCAAAAACTGTAAAGTAATATTTCATTCTTGTGAAACTAGCATTAATGTTGAAAAGTGATAATAAATTATGTAAAATAATCAAAACTTATCCAAATACAAATAGATTAAAATATTTAATTTAAATTTTAAAATCCATAATCATATATATTTATATATATTTTTTTACCTTTATTATTTATCATTTTTTTAAACCAGCATTACAATTGAAAAAAAAGACGTGACTCTTAGGTCTCGGGTGAAATAAAGGGATGGATAAATGGTACTTTTATATTGGTTTTTTAAACTTGAAACCAATGTACCATTGCTCTCGGTAATGGTTCTGAATTAAATAGGTTAAATAGGTATAAATAGGTATTAGTTATAAATAGATTGAATCAGTTTATATTTATAAAGATGGTTAATATAGTAGTTGAATTACATTTTTAATAAGGAAGGTTGATCCTTAAAGCCCGATGCATACTTGCGTTAATTTAACGCTGCGGCAACGCTGAGGCACCGCGATAGCGAAGTGAAATACTCTCAATTTAATTAAGTTCTGCTCACATCACAGCGGCAAACGTTGTGACGATGCGCGTCCATTTTGCCTGCAAGTTTTCACGCAAGTCATTATCACGCCGCAGCGGCACCGCGAACGCATGCGGTCACCGATACATTGTTTTGTATTGGGTAATGCACATTTGCGTTAAACGCAATTTAATTTCCGTTAACACTTTTGCGGCTGTACCGAATCATGGCAAGAAATGATGATGAAATTAATATTGAACTGTTCATTGGTGCAGTTAAATATTATCTAGAATTACGGAATGTGGCGGCCAAAACCTACCATGACGGGAATAAAAAAAGAAGAGCCTAGATAAAAATGTATGAGGAATTTTGTGAGGTATTTAATAAAAATAATGAAAAATAAAAAAATTAAATTTATATTATTTAATTTATATTTATTAAATATTTACATTAATGAAAGATTTATATTTGAAACAATGAAAGTATATATCAAAAAAGATAATTATAGTTCGAAATAACATTTTAAACGTTTTATTTTATAAACCTCTATTGTTACAGCTCGATCTCATATTGTACGTTACACTCAAAATATATACCATTTGCGTTATTCTACGCTATGTTAGTGCATTGAATTCTACGGCCACGCCGCGGTGCCACAACGGCGAAGAGCTTTAAAACAACGCAAGCTTACATCGGGCTTTAATGTTATAATTTTCAACAAAAAAATCTTTCAAAATTTTGGAGAAACGAACATTTCAAATACATAAACAACATTAATTTCATTGTATATTTCAGAACTATGAAACATCTTTATAATGATATAAGAACTCGATAAACGTTTTGATATACCTACTAAAATTAATAATTATAAGATATCTAAAAAGCCTTTTTATTTAAATTAATTTAATTAATAATATTAATAAACTATGGACACATACAGTTAATGCTTTTTTTATACTTAAACATATAAATTTAAGTTTTTATCAGTTAAAAGTGTTAAAATTAAAAATATTCAAATTAATTTTTACGATTTCAATATTTTGGACAATCATCTTTTATTATAAATTTAACTAAACCTACCTGAACTTGCATCATGTTTAAGATGATGAATTAATCATTATTTTTCACATCGGTTAATAATTTATACACAATTATTTATATTTCTTAAATATTATTATTTATTTTTTATGTCTTCTAATGGATTTTATAGTTATAAATTGTAAATACTGTTATAATTAGTTATAAGGTTAATAAAGGTTTAAGGTTATAAAAATATTTTTTTCAAAATGTAAGTGTAGTTTTCACCATTAAATGTACTTTATTAATTATTAGTTTTTTAGTAAATAACTCTTTTGAAAAGTATATAATTTATTAAATTTATGATATATACAATTCGAATAAAAAATGGCGACCCAATAAAAACGAATGAAA